GGAATTGCTGTTTGTGAAGTGAGTTAGGGATTCCTGTTTGTGAGAGACAGTTAGGTACTTCTGTGAGAGAAAAGAGTTAAGAACTCCTGTTAGAAATAAGAAGTTATGAAGATGTGTTAAAGACTACTGATATAGAGAAACAGTTAGTTAAATAGAACCTAAATTTTAGGAACATAAAGAAAGCCAGTGGTGCTTTAGTTAGAATATATTTTTTCAGTCAAGAGAGTGTAAAGCAAGTAACATGCTTGTGAATGTGAAACATTGAAAGTTTATTTCAGAAAAGTAAACCAAGTATATTATACTGACTGTAAGCCTCAAGATTGCAACAAAACTCAAATGTAACCACAAGCGTTTGGAGCCAGAAGTTATAAATAAACTGTGTTACTTTGTTATACAGAAGTGTGTGTCTCAGTGCCTGTACAAAGGTTAAACAACATACAGAAAGACCCAGCTAATATAGTAGAAGAAACTGAACCATTATAAGAGTAAAGAGGGTTTTTTTCTTAAATAAAGAAATAGTCTTTCTCTCCCTCGCTACAGCCAGCCTCTGTTTCTACAGGCTACAATCTCTCAGCTTCAAGTCAACTCTATAACTAGATAAACAGGTTTGGGTTTATCTAGGCTGATAAGGAAGTCACCTATCTCTGCTTATATATGAACAGTGGAGTGTGATTATTCCTGGGTTGGGAAAAAGCCAGAGGGATCTGTCCAGACTTTCTCTTCTCATGGAAATACGTCAGTGGGGTTATGTCAAGGTGACCGTCTGTGGGCTACATCTTATTACATTCCATAAGGAAGTTAAAGTGTTTGAGGACCAAAGTGCGCTTCCAGCAGTCACCAGCCAATCCCTCTCCAATGCCAGAGATATTGCTGAATGGTGTAACATTAGAAAACGTTGATTATTTCCGCTCTCTTGGCAGCCACCTCTCCACAAAACTCAACATTGACACTGAAATACAACACTGCCTGAGCTCTGCGAGTGCAGCTTTTTTCCGAATGAAGCAGAGAGTGTTTGAGGACCGGGACATCAGTAGGGATACCAAGGTGTTTGCTTATAAAGCCATTCTCCTCCCAACCCTGCTATAAGCCTTCAAAACATGGACTGTCTACAGAAGTCCACAAAAGTCAACATTGAGACTGAAATTCAACACCGCCTGAGTGCTGTGAGTGCAGCTTTTTTCCGAACGAAGCAGAGAGTGTTTGAGGACCGGGACATCCGTAGGGATACCAAGGTGCTTGTTTATAAAGCCATTCTCCTCCCAACCTTGATCACCAGTAAACATGGACTGTCTACAGAAGTCCACAAAAGTCAACAGTGACACTGAAATTCAACACCGCTGTGAGTGCAGCTTATTTCCGAATAAAGCAGAGAATGTTTAAGGATTGGGACATCCATAGGGACACCAAGGTGCTTGTTTATAAAGCCATTCTCCTCCCAACCCTGCTATAAGCCTTCAAAACATGGACTGTCTATATAAGTCCACAAAAGTCAACATTGACACCGCCTGAGCTCTGTGAGTGCAGCTTTTTTCCGAATGAAGTAGAGAGTGTTTGAGGACTGGGACATCCGTAAGGATACCAAGGTGCTTGTTTATAAAGCCATTCTCCTCCCAACCCTGCTATAAGCCTTCAAAACATGGACTGTCTATAGAAGTCCACAAAAGTTGAATCTCATTGACACTGAGATTCAACACCGCCTGAGCTCTGTGAGTGCAGCTTTTTTCCGAATGAAGCAGAGAGTGTTTGAGGACCGGGACATCCGTAGGGACACCAAGATGCTTGTTTATATCTATTGTCCTCCCAACCCTGCTATACACCTGCGAGATGTGGACTGTCTACAGACGTCACATGCAACTCCTGGAACGATTCCATCAACATTGCCTCCGAAAAATCCTGCAAATCTCTTGGGAAGACTGGCAGACAAATGTCAGCGTGCTGGAAGAAGCAAAGACCACCAGCCTTGAAGCGATGGTCCTCCGCCATAACTCCGCTGGACCGGCCACATTGTCCGGATGCCTGACCACCGTCTCCCAAAGCACTTGCTCTACTCCGAACTCAAGAATGGAAAATGGAATGTTGAAGGACAGGAAAAGAGATTGAAAGACGAGCTCGAAGCCAACCTTTAAAACTCTGGCATAAACACTGAGAAATGGGAAGCCCTGGCCCTTGAGCGCTCCAGCTGGAGGTCAGCTGTGACCAACAGTGCTGTAGAATTTAAAGAGGCATGAATAGAGGACAAAAGAGAGAAACAAGGCAAGAGGAAGGTGCGGCAAGCCAACCCCGACCAGGACCACCTTCCACCTGGAAAGAGAGTGAGATCGTATTATGATGTCAATCACGTTGACTTCGGTTTTTATTATTTTTTTATAGATAGGATGATGTCTGGTTTTTGGTTGTATGCTATGTTTTGGTTTTTTACATGTTGTGCGGGAAAGAAATCAATCAATCAATCGATAATATTGAGAACCTTTTGGGAGCCTGGTGGGAATTCGGACCGCCACAGCCAACCTTCACCTTCTCCAATGCGTCCTACTTTCGTTCCCGTAATACATAATGACAACAGCCTTCCTTCCCTGCAAACGGTATTGAGTTTGGAAAGAGATTGACCTGCTTTCCATTCTCCGGCTGCGGGTTTTCCGTCTGTTGTGGGTTTTTTAGTTGCCGTCCTCCTTTTCGGTTGGTAGAAACGACTATTGATTTTATCTCCGTTTTACAGCCCGACAGAGTTTATTCCTCCTTCTCCTCCTCCTCTTTTCCCAATTCGACGGATCGAAGTCCCTCTGACGCACTGTATTTCTCTCTCTCTCTTGGATACCTGACCAGGTTTCCAAATCTAAATCTGTGCAGAGTCAGAAGTAACGGCAGCACTTCCCCTCCTCAGTGCAATATTACTATATTGTACTATACCACCATACTGCAATATTATTACTAATATTCCTGGCAGTATATAATATACAATGCGGCAGGTACTGGCTTGTTCAGTAGACTCTCCTCTACAGTTTCATTTTGGCAGGAAGCCTTAGCATTGAAGGGTTGCAGGGTCTTTGTTTACTCTTTGTTATGGAGAACAACATATATATATACAGTCATGGGAACTGTATAGAAAAGGAAGGAGAATGAGAAGGAGCGTTTGTCTCGGAGGAGGAGAAGGTGGAGATGAAGGAGGAGGAGAAGTAGAAGGGGAAAGATAAGTAGTGTTTGCCTCAAAGGAGATAGAGATGGAGAAGGAGGAGAAAGGGAAGGGGAAGGAGAAGGAGTGTTTGCCTCAAAGGAGGAGAAGGAGAAAGAGAAGGAGAAAGTGAAGGAGAAGGAGAAGGAGAAGGAGAAGGAGAAGGAGAAAGAGAAGGAGAAGGAGAAGGAGAAGGAGAAGGAGAAGGAGAAGGAGAAGGAGAAGGAGAAAGAGAAAGAGAAAGAGAAAGAGAAAGAGAAAGAGAAAGAGAAAGAGAAAGAGAAAGAGAAAGAGAAAGAGAAAGAGAAAGAGAAAGAGAAGGGAAGGGAAGGGAAGGGAAGGAAAGGAAAGGAAAGGAAAAGGAGAAGGAGAAGGAGAAGGAGAAAGAGAAAGAGAAAGAGAAAGAGAAAGAGAAAGAGAAAGAGAAAGAGAAAGAGAAAGAGAAAGAGAAAGAGAAAGAGAAAGAGAAAGAGAAAGAGAAAGAGAAGGGAATCAAAGGAGAAGGAGGTGGAGATGGAGAAGGATGAGAAGAAGGGGAAAGGGACGGGGAAGGAGGAGAAGGAGGAGTGTTTGACTCAAAGGAGAAGGGGAAGGAGAAAGAGAAGGGGAAAGAGAAGGAGTGTTTGCCTCAAAGGAGACGGAGATGGAGATGTAGAAGGAGCAGAAGGAGATGGGGAAGGAGAAGGAGTGTTTGCCTCAAAGGAGAAGGAGGAAAAGGGGAAGGGGAAAGGGAAGGAAAAGGAGTGTTTGCCTCGAAGGAGATGAAGATGAAGGAGAAGGAGGAGAAGAAGACAGGGAAGAAGAAGAAGGAGTGTTTGCCTCAAAGGAGAAGGAGGAGAAGGGAAGCGGAAGGGGAATGAGGAGTGTTTGCCTTGAAGGAGATAGAGATGGAGAAGGAGGAGAAGACAGGGCGGAAGAAGGAGAAGGAGTGTTTGCCTCAAAGGAGAAGGAGAAGGAGGAGAAGGGGAAAGGGAATGAGTGTTTGCCTCGAAGGAGAAGATGGAGAAGGAGGAGAAGGGAAGGGGAAGGAGAATGAGAAGGAGTGTTTGTCTCAAAGGAGAAGGAGGAGATGAGGAATGTCCTTTGAGAGATTCAAACTGTCCTTAGGTGTCCATGTGAGAGATCTTCCTCCAGCAGCCAAGATGCAAATACAGAAAAAATGTCTTGGCAAGCTCTTACACAAAAAATGATAAAAATGTAACTGTTGTCAGAACTCCCAGGCTCAGCTAGCTTCTGGACGTGGCCCAACCAATCAGCGTCACACACTCACCAACCGATCTTGACATGCTCCAACATATTGTACTATATTATAAGTTGTAATACACACACACACTAGAATGTGTCTTTTTTGGAAACCATCCCGAGTCCCTTCGAAGAGGGATTGTGATTGTGGTGCGCCCAGCTCTGCAATGCCCGAGGCTCGTTTTTTGCTTCCTTGCGGATTTTTAACATCCAGCCAGCAAAGTGGGAATCATGAATAATAGAACGGGGAGAAGGTTGCGAGCAAAGGGAGGCACAAACGCATGCGGTTCTGCTGCAGCGGCCTCTTGCAAAAAACGAGGCCCTGAGACCCAAAAGGAGAGCACGAAACGCATTCAGAGAGGAGAGCAAGACGTGGGCAACCGGCACATCGGACTGAGCGTGGCTGAGTGCCGCAAGAGTGCCACACAGTGGCCACTGGGGGTAATACTGAGTTACAAACACCCAACTGGGTTGTTGTAAGTTTTTCGAGCTGTCTAGCCATGTTCGAGAAGCATTCTCTCCTGACGTTTCTCCCACATCCACTTCACTCCACTCGTCCCTTCTTTCCAGGAAGCATTCGCTCACTCACCTGCGCTTTGAGGCTGGCGGCGTCGAAGACGGTGATCTGGTTCCCGCAACTGGCCCACAAAGCGTCGTCCAACGTGAGCAGCGTCCGCACCGGCGCCAGTCCGACCGTCAGCAAAGTAGGCTCGACGTTGGCATCCCAGAGTCCCCCGGCCACTATTGGGAAGAGAGAGGGAAGGAAAGGATGAGACGGAAGGACGAGGCAAGTGGCAATGAAGTGGATGAAGAGAGAGACATTTCTGAGACTTGGGATAAGGTCCTGAGATGGAGAACCTTTCCATTTGCAGCAACAAAGGATTCCCCCAGGCAGAAAGAAGGCACTTCTTGAAAACATGCTAATCAAGGTGGTCAATGGAAACATTCTCACCTACCTCAAATAGACCAGAGTTCTTTCTCCTGCCCAGACAAGAAACAATCAGAGGCAGCTAATCACTTCCCAACAAAGGATTCCCCCAGGCAGAAAGAAGGCACTTCTTGAAAACATACTAATCAAGGTGGTCAATGGAAACATTCACACCTACCTCTAACAGACCAGAGTTCTTTCTCCCGCCCAGACAAGCAACAATCAGGGCCAGCGAATCACCTCCCAACAAAGGATTCCCCCAGGCTGTAAGAAGGCACTTCTTGAAAACTGCTAGACCATTAAATGCTAATCAAGGGGGCCAATAGAAACATTCTCACCTACCACAAACAGACCAGAGTTATTTCTCCCACCCAGACAAGAAACAATCAGGGGCAGCTAATCACCTCTCATAAAGGATTCCCCCAGGCAGTAAGAAGCCAGACCTTGAAAACTGCTAGGCTATTAAATGCTAATCAAGATGGCCAATGGAAACATTCACACCTACCTCAAACAGACCAGAGTTCTTTCTCCCACCCAGACAAGCAATAATCAGGGCTAGCGAAAAAACTCCCAATGAAGGATTCCCCCAGGCAGTAAGAAGGCAGTTCTTGAAAACTGCTAGGCTATTAAATGCTTAATCAAGGTGGTCAATGGAAACACTCACCTACCTCAAACAGACCAGAGTTAATGGCCTGGCAGTTTCAAGGTGTGGCTTCTTACTGCCTGGGGGAATCCTTTGTTGGGAATGTCCAGGGTGGGAGAAAGAGCTCTTGTCTGTTGGAGCTAGGTGTGAATGTTTCCATTGGCCACCTTGATTAGCATTTAATGACCTGGCATTTTCAAGGCATGGCTTCTTACTGCCTGGGGGAATCCTTTGTTGGGAATGTCCAGGGTGGGAGAAAGAACTCTTGTCTGTTGGAGCTAGGTGTGAATGTTTCCATTGGCCACCTTGATTAGCATTTAATGACCTGGCATTTTCAAGGCATGGCTTCTTACTGCCTGGGGGAATCCTTTGTTGGGAATGTCCAGGGTGGGAGAAAGAACTCTTGTCTGTTGGGGCTAGGTGTGAATGTTTCCATTGGCCACCTTGATTAGCATTTAATGGCCTGGCATTTTCAAGGCGTGACTTCTTACTGCCTGGGGGAAACCTTTGTTGGGAATGTCCAGGGTGGGAGAAAAAACTCTTGTCTGTTGGAGCTAGGTGTGAATGTTTCCATTGGCCACCTTGATTAGCATTTAATGGCCTGGCATTTTCAAGATGTGGCTTCTTACTGCCTGGGGGAATCCTTTGTTGGGAATGTCCAGGGTGGGAGAAAAAACTCTTGTCTGTTGGGGCTAGGTGTGAATGTTTCCATTGGCCACCTTGATTAGCATTTAATGGCCTGGCATTTTCAAGATGTGGCTTCTTACTGCCTGGGGGAATCCTTTGTTGGGAATGTCCAGGGTGGGAGAAAGAACTCTTGCCTGTTGGAGCTAGGTGTGAATGTTTCCATTGGCCACCTTGATTAGCATTTAATGACCTGGCATTTTCAAGGCATGGCTTCTTACTGCCTGGGGGAATCCTTTGTTGGGAATGTCCAGGGTGGGAGAAAGAACTCTTGTCTGTTGGGGCTAGGTGTGAATGTTTCCATTGGCCACCTTGATTAGCATTTAATGGCCTGGCATTTTCAAGGCGTGACTTCTTACTGCCTGGGGGAAACCTTTGTTGGGAATGTCCAGGGTGGGAGAAAAAACTCTTGTCTGTTGGAGCTAGGTGTGAATGTTTCAATTGGCCACTTTGATTAGCATTTGATGGCCTGACATTTTTGAGGTGTAGCTTCTTACTGCCTGGGGGAATCCTTTGTTGGGAATGTCCAGGGTGGGAGAAAAAACTCTTGTCTGTTGGGGCTAGGTGTGAATGTTTCCATTGGCCACCTTGATTAGCATTTAATGGCCTGGCATTTTCAAGATGTGACTTCTTACTGCCTGGGGGAATCCTTTGTTGGGAATGTCCAGGGTGGGAGAAAAAACTCTTGTCTGTTGGGGCTAGGTGTGAATGTTTCCATTGGCCACCTTGATTAGCATTTAATGGCCTGGCATTTTCAAGATGTGGCTTCTTACTGCCTGGGGGAATCCTTTGTTGGGAATGTCCAGGGTGGGAGAAAGAACTCTTGTCTGTTGGAGCTAGGTGTGAATGTTTCCATTGGCCACCTTGATTAGCATTTAATGACCTGGCATTTTCAAGGCATGGCTTCTTACTGCCTGGGGGAATCCTTTGTTGGGAATGTCCAGGGTGGGAGAAAGAACTCTTGTCTGTTGGAGCTAGGTGTGAATGTTTCCTTTGGCCAAGTTGATTAGCATTTAATGGCCTGGCAGTTTCAAGGTGTGGCTTCTTACTGCCTGGGGGAATCCTTCATTGAGAGGTGATTAGCTGTCCCTGACTGTTTCTTGTCTGGAGTTCCCCTGTTTTTGAGTGTTGCTCTTTATTTATGATTTTAAAGAGCCGGAGCACCAACAAACAACCCTTTCTATTCCTCCCTGTCAAAAACGCTTAGCTTCTGTGACCTCTTGAAAACGAGTGTCACAAAAGGCACGTTGTTGATACCAAACAGAATGCCGGAAATATTAATATTTCCTGATCCAAAGAGGTAGAGAGTCCTCGTGGTGGGCTCTTCACCCAAAGCAGGTGCGCCGTTCCGAGAAATATCCTCTTCCCGCGGCACCTCTGCCCTCCGCAGATGTAAACGCAACCCGCATCTGCTGGCTTTCTCCCCTCTTCCGACACGTTGCCTCGCCTCCCCGCTTTAATTAAAAAAGCATAAACGGTTTTCTCGAGAGCTAATTAATAATTTCGAGGGGGGGAGAAGGCAAAAGGGTTTGGAAGCAGCGTCGGCTCGCGGCCCCGGAATGGAGGGCAAGAGACACGGGTCATGGGCGCTTAATGGACCGTGGAGAGAAAGCGGAGAGAGGCTGATGATGATACGGGAAGGAAGCTGATGAGTATATGGGAAGGGGAATAGGAAATTATACCAAAATGGAGAGGAATTCAGGGATCGGGCCTGCTTCGGGGGAGAAACAACGGTAAGCGTTTGACAAGTGAAAATCGAGACACGAGAAAAGATGAAAAACATATACCAATAGGTGAAAAAAATACACTGCGCAACACAATTTTTGTTCGTGAGTTAAAAATGTCATTTCCGATTTTTTCCCCAGATTTTGTTACATAATGCTATAGATATATAGATATATATACAACTCTCCAAGTTACAAACAAGAGGAGAGGCGGGTAATAAATTTGTTGTTGTTGTTACAGTAGAGTCTCACTTATCCGACCTTCGCTTATCTGACATTCCGTCTTATTCAACACTCTTATCCGCCGCACCCTTTTCCTCCAGCATTTCCCCTCCAATTAAAAAAGCGCTCCACAACTCTCTCCATTCCCAATACAGTAGTCCTGTTTATCCGACCTTCAGTTATCCGACATTCTGTCTTATCTGACGCTCTTATCCACCGCCACCATTTTCCTAAAGCATTTCCCCTTCAATTCACGGAGTGCTCCCCAACTCTCTCTCCAACCCTACTAGCAACTCTCTCTCCAATCCTACTAGAATCCAGCTTATCCGACCTTCACTTATCCGACATTCCGTCTTATCCAATGCTCTTATCCACTGCCCCCTTTTCCTCCAGCATTTCCCCTTCAATTCACAGAGCGCTCCCCAACTCTCTCCATTCCAATACAGTAGAGTCTCGCTTATCCGACCTTCACTTACATTCTGTCTTATCTGACGCTCTTATCCACCGTCCCCCTTTTCCTAAAGCATTTCCCCTTCAATTCACAGAGCGCTCTCCAACTCCCTCTCCAACCCTACTAGCAACTCTCTCTCCAATCCTACTAGAGTCTCGGTTATCCGACCTTCACTTATCCAACATTCTGTCTTATCTGACGCTCTTATCCACCGCCCCCCTTTTCCTAAAGCATTTCCCCTTCAATTCACGGAGCGCTCCCCAACTCTCTCTCCAACCCTACTAGCAACTCTCTCTCCTATCCTACTAGAGTCTTGCTTATCCGACCTTCACTTATCTGACATTCCGTCTTATCCAACGCTCTTATCTGTCGCCCCCTTTTCCTCCAGAATTTCCCCTTCAATTCACGGAGTGCTCCCCAACTCTCTCTCCAATCCTACTAGAGTCTGACTTATCCGACCTTTGCTTATCCGATATTCTGTCTTCCACATTTGGACACTTACTGCTGGGCCATCTAGCCCTGGGGCGTTGCCTTGCCTTCAATTCACAGAGTGCTCCCCAACTCTCTCTCCAATCCTACTAGAGTCTGACTTATCCAACCTTTGCTTATCCAAAATTTCATCTTATCCAACGCTCTTATCTGCCCCCCCTTTTCTTCCAGCATTTCCCTTTCAATTCACGAAACTCTCCCCAACTCTCTCTCCAATCCTACCAGAGTCTCACTTATCCAACCTTTGCTTATCTGACATTCCGTATTATCCGACGCTCTTATCCGCCACCCCCTTTTCCTCCAGCATTTCCCCTTCAATTCACAGAGCGCTCCCCAACTCTCTCTCCAATCCTACTAGAGTCTGACTTATCCGACCTTTGCTTATCCGATATTCTGTCTTCCACATTTGGACACTTACTGCTGGGCCATCTAGCCCTGGGGCGTTGCCTTGCCTTAACTCTTTGAGCCCCTGTTAGGATTCTAGGTGTCTAGCACCGCATTGGCAGCAGTAGGAGACCCCGTATTATCTGACATTTTCGTTGATCCAATGTTCTGCCGGCCTGTGTATGTTGGAGAAGTGAGATTCTACTGTACTATTATGATTATCATCATCACCACAGCCCTTATCTGACCACTCCACAAAAAGATCATAGAATCACAGAGTTGGAAGAGACCTCATGGGCCATCCAGTCGAACCCCATTCTGCCAAGAAGCAGGAATATTGCATTCAAAGCACCCCTGACAGATGGCCATCCAGCCTCTGTTTAAAGGCTTCCAAAGAAGCAGCCCCCACCACACTCCGGGGCAGATTGTTCCACTGTTTTCTGAACTCAGAGATAAGAAAAACCAGAAATCAAAGCCACCATTGCGGGCCTGAGAATTAAAGTGTCCTTTGTGGCTCTTTCCGAAGGGGAGCCGGTTGATGCTGGTGGACCTAAGTGTGACTCACGAGAGATTGGCCGAAGACCGTGATGTCTTGCAAAAATTTAATAGACCCGACCCCAAGCGAAGATTGTCCTTTGACTCCTCTTTATCAACATTTTTCTTTTCAAGCCAGGGACAAGGATGAAAGCCCATCTGACAGGCTTCAGCGGCAGTAAAACTGTTTCTCGTTCCGGAGAGAACTGACAGCCGATCAATAAGAAATTACTCAGCGTTCGAGTCGGGGTTTTGTCTCGGGACCCGGAGTCCGAGCGTTGCATTTTGAAAGGCAATTAGCATAAAGCGGCTTTTTCTTCTTCTACTTCTAGGAAAAAGAGAGAAGGTACGGCATTCCTCTTCTTCTTTTCCCCTTCCTCGGCTTCAAGAAGCAGGAAATTAAAACAGATTTGAGATTAATTAAAGGCTCTCGGAAAAGAAACGAAGTTTGGATGAGACTTTTCCCCCAGAGGAGAAGATGAAGGAGTGACGAACAAACAAACAAATAGGATTTATTATTCCAAGGCATTTCTGGGATATGCAAGACGCAGGCAATTCTCACTGGAGTCTCTTCAGACAAAAAGGACCAACAAGAATTCATGGGGATGTTGTTGATGTAGTTGTTGTTGCTGCTGCTGCTGTTGTTATTGTTGTTGTTGTTTCTTTCTGGAAAGTTTCCAATGGTGGACCTCATTGGACGTTGACATTTGGAGAGAAGGAAGCGCACCAAGAAGTTCATACATCTCATCACGCAACTTGAAACAAAGCATCCTTTAAGTCCAATTTGAGGGAGATAAGCAGGGTATAGATAAATATCTATACACATAATAAAAGTGTGTATATGTGTGGCTGGGGTTTCCACTACCACAGACAGGCCCCCACTTCCACAAACAGCTACATCTCCCACTACTCAGGAGCCACCAATGGCCCTCCAACCAATGACATTGCAGGTTATAGTGAGCACCGTGAATATGTCCAAGAGCTCTGCCAATGTCCTCCACCAACAGCATACTGCCCACCACCCAATTTCATATGGGGATAATTCCATCCTAGATTTTGTTTTCCCTCCACTACAGACATCCCAGTGTTTCTAACTCTCTCCATTGGTGTGGAATTTGCATGATCCCACCCACTGCCTCTCCCTTAGGTAAAAGTAAAGGTAGTCCCCTGACATTAAGTCCAGTCATGTCTGACTCTGGGGTGTGGTGCTCATCTCCATTTCTAAGCCGAAGAGCCAGCGTTGTCCGTAGACACCTCCAAGGTCATGTGGCTGGCATGACTGCATGGAGCACCGTTACCTTCCCGCCGGAGCGGTACCTATTAATCTACTCACATTTGCATGTTTTCGAACTGCTAGGTTGGCAGAAGCTAGGGCTGACAGCGGAAGCTCACGCCGCTCCCCAGAATCGAACCTGCGACCTTTCGATCAACAAGCTCAGCAGCTCAGTGCTTTAACCCACTGCGCCACCCAGGGCTCATTTGCCTCTCCCTTAACCCTTTCCTATTCTTTTCTGTGGCACACAGTAGACAGAGACATTTCTCAAAATCCAGTGATCCCAGGGACAGAAAGTCTGTCTGAAGACAGACACCCTTCCCTATGATATCCAAAAGTTCCAAACAGCGCTCTGTGCATGCGCGAGAATACCCAAATTGTGTGAATTCACACAGACCATGAAGAAGAAATGTACCATCTTAATACCAACCGCTGATACCTTCACAGATCTCGAAAGTTCCAACATCATTTTCTAATTGGTTATATCATATGCCTTCTCCACCAAAAAATGTTTGTGGTTCACCAAACTACAAAGCCCAGCATTGCATAGCATTAAGACGTGGTTATTAAATTAGTGATTGGCATTCCTCAAATAGGAGCTCAACAGTAAGATAATCGTATGACCTGAATCAAATGCACAACCTAAGTTGGCAAGGTTGTTTAGCCCCAAAAAGGGAAGAATTAGATTGGAGTAAACAGTAGGAATGTGCGAAAAAATCGAATGAGTCGGAAATCATAAGAAAGTCTAGACACTAGAAACCTCTAGACTTCTGCCCCAAAGACTCACCATTGCTCCTGAGGAAGGCGGCAACGGTCCCGTCCTGCAGGCCGGCAAAGACGTAATCGGCGTTGTGCTTCAGGCAGAGGACCGGCTGGTGCCCGGGGCTTTTGTCCGTCAGCAGGCACTGCGTCCCGGTGTCCACACTGCCGTAAACCAGGATGCTGAGGAAGCCAGGAAAGAGGAGGCATTACAGGAGAGGTTTACACTTAAGACAACACTCCATGCGAAAAAGATCCCGGAGCCTTGGTTGACCACGAGTTGAGCATGACCCAACAGTGTCATTCTGCAACTGAAAAAGCCAATGGAGTGTACTGTCCAGCTCGAGGGAAGACATGGTGCCTCTCCATACATCTTTACCTGGAAGACCGTGTGAAAAACCCGTAATTTGGTGCTGCCTGGAAGCGCCCAGAAACTAAAAGGGACCAACAAAATCAACAGGAAACTCTGGGTACAATGCCTAAAGACCTTGACCTGTACTTAAAAAAAACAGCACTGACAAAATCACCAAAAGGCCACCCTACTTGGATCTCCACACATTATTCGCCGATACATCACATAGTCCTAGACACTTGGGAAGGGTCTGACGTGTGATCCAATACACACTTCCGAACAGCCTACCTTCCGAAGTTTGCCCATGCCTGTCCTAAAGTATCAAACCAAGCAGGAAGACTTGAGTACCAGTCCATCCCGATGATCAGTAACAAAATACGGAAGATGTAAAATATAGCAGAAAGTGCACCTGAGTGTTTCCTCACCTTCCCTCTGCATAGTGTGACAGTCTGAGTTTTGACGTCCAAAATACTTAAGTTTTGGCTCTAGCTTGAGCTCTCCTCCTCACCTCCCATCCTGCAGACCGAGGCATATGGCGGGCTGTGCCGGCAAGGTTTGGTCAGCAGCGGTTGGGGAGCCATCCTCTTCCTTCTCCGCTTCGTTCCGCTCCGGAATGTACTCCACACATAGGACGCGGGAGGCCACCGGGAAGGACTTGACCGTCCGAGGCACACAACGGTTCAAGGAGAAGATCTCCACTTGTCCACCGGCCCCATCTTGGCCTCCACCAACCTAGAAGGGGCAAGCGGATGAATTATTATTATTGTACCTCCTACTCACCTCTCCTCATGGCTCATATTCAAGTAGTGGTCCTACTCCACAAACTTTGCTTGCATGGAGAACCAAGCTTCTCTTATCAGGACAAAGTCTTCGCCCTCTAGTCAACTTTCCTCATGTTCTCAAGATGAACACAATGAGGAACGGATATGGATGACCCAGAAACAAAACTCGTATGGATGATGTTCATATTTGAATCCGCTCATTGAAAAAAAGTCGACATTTCTGGCGGATGTCCCGCAACGGCCATCTTGCGGGCTTCGAAATTGCGTAACAAAGCAGCAAGTCTAGACGTCATAGAGCAGCCTTTCTCAAACTGGGGGTCGGGACCCCTGGGGGGGGTCGTGAAGGGGTGTCAGAGGGGTCACCAAAGACCATCAAAAAACACAGTATTTTCTGTTGGTCATAGGGGTTCTGTGTGGAAGTTTGGCCCAATTCTATCGTTGTTGGGGTTCAGAATGCTCTTTGATTGTAGGTGAACTATAAATCCCAGCAACTACAACTCCCAAATGTCAAGGTCTGGTTTCCCCAAAATCCACCAGTGTTCACATTTGGTCAAACTGAGTATTTGTGCCAAGTTTGGTTCAGATCCGTCATTGCTTGAGTCCACAGTGCTCTCTGGATGTAGGTGAACTACAGCTCCAAAACTCAAGGTCATTGCCTACCAAACATTTCCAGTATTTTCTGTTTGTCATGGGAATTTTGTTCCAAGATCAGTTCAGTTCCATCGTTGGTGGAGTTCAGAATGCTCTTTGATTGGAGATGAACTATAAATCCCAATAACTACAACTCCCAAATGACAAAATCAATCTCCCCCCCCCCCCCCCCCCCCCCCCCCCCAACCCTACCAGTATTCAAATTTGGGTGTATCGGGTATTTTTGCCAAATTTGGTCCAGTGAATGTAAATACATCCTGCATATCAGATATTTACAGTACGATTCATAACAGTAGCAAAATTACAGTTGTGAAGTAGCAACGAAAGCAACTTTATGGTTGGGGGTCACCACAACATGAGGAACTGTATTAAGGGGTTGAGGCATTAGAAAGGTTGAGAACCACTGTTGTAGAAGGAAATCCCAGGACTGTGGAACCTCCTCTCCGGTCCTGGTTTTTTTTGCCCCGCATGAAAAAAAACCCCGAAATTTGGTGCTGTCTGAAAGCGCCCTGTGTCATGTCCGAAATTTCCAGTGGACGTCCCACGACGGCCATCTTGCGGGCTTCAAAACCCCATAACGAATTAGCAAGTCTGGACATCACAGGTGGAAATCCCAGGACCAACAGGTCTGTATATGGACCTCCTCTCCGGTCCTGAGTTTTTTTGCCCCGCGTGAAAAAACCCGCAATTTGGTGCTGTCTGGAAGCGCCCTGTGTCATGTCCAAAATTTCCAGCGGATGTCCCGTGACAGCCATCTTGCAGGTTTCAAAACCCACAACGAATGAGCAAGTCTGGAAATCACAGGTGGAAATCCCGGGACCAACAGGTCTGTGTATGGACCTCCTCTCCGGTCCTGGGTTTTTTTGCCCTGCGTGAAATAACCCGCAATTTGGTGCTGTTTGGAAGCGCCCTGTGTCATGTCTGAAATTTCCTGCGGACGTCCCACAACAGCCATCTTGCGGGCTTCAAAACCCCATAACGAATTAGCAAGTCTGGACATCACAGGTGGAAATCCTGGGACCAACAGGTCTATGTATGGACCTCCTCTCTGGTCCTGGGGGGTTTTTTTGCCCCGTGTGAAAAAACCCGCAATTTGGTGCTGTCTGGAAGCGCCCTGTGTCATGTCTGAAATTTCCAGCAGACATCCCGCGATGGCCATCTTGTAGGTTTTGAAACCCATAACGAATTAGCAAGTCTGGACATCACAGGTGGAAATCCTGGGACCAACAGGTCTATGTATGGACCTCCTCTCTGGTCCTGGGGGGTTTTTTTGCCCCGTGTGAAAAAACCCGCAATTTGGTGCTGTCTGGAAGCGCCCTGTGTCATGTCTGAAATTTCCAGCAGACATCCCGCGATGGCCATCTTGTAGGTTTTGAAACCCATAACGAATTAGCAAGTCTGGACATCACAGGTGGAAATCCCGGGACCAACAGATCTATGTGTGGACCTCCTCTCCGGTCCTGGTTTTTTTTGCCGCACGTGAAAAAAACTCCGCAATTTGGTGCTGTCTGGAAGCGCCCTGTGTCATGTCCGAAATTTCCAGCAGACGTCCCGTGACAGCCATCTTGAGGGTTTCGAAACCCCATAACGAATTAGCAAGTCTGGACATCACAGGTGGAAATCCCGGGACCAACAGGTCTATGTGTGGACCTCCTCTCCGGTCCTAGGTTTTTTTGCCCCGCGTGAAAAAACCCGCAATTTAGTGCTGTCTGGAAGTGCCCTGTGTCGGCCATCTTGCAGGTTTCGAAACTCCATAACAAATTAGCAAGTCTGGAAATCACAGGTGGAAATCCCGGGACCAAAAGGTTTGTGTGCGGACCTGCTCCCCGTTTTTTTTGGGGGGGGGGGTTGGCCCTCATGGAAAACCCGTAATTTGGTCCTGCCTGGAAGCACCCAGGGACTAAAAGGGATCGACAAAGTCAACAGAAAACTAGTGGGAAGTTTATAGTTTCCACTCCAAAGGCCAACGCAGACCACCTTCTGGGCAAACGCTCTCCATGAGGGGACCCTTCGCTCTAGCGACTGTCAGCTCTCTTTAAAAGTAAAATAAAATAAAACCCGTTATCTCTTCCTTGCCTTCAAGCTCCGTGTAAGACATCGCTTAATCCGCTCAGCTGCTGCGGGGACGTCTTTCCTTCCCTCCCCTCTCGCTACTCGACGAGATAAACGTCTCCTGGTTTATTTCTATTTCCCTTCAACAGATAAGAAGAACATGCTCCCAAAGGGAACGCCGATGCGCCAGAGCCCAAATCCCATCATCCCCAGCCAGCCAAGTCTCGTTGGAAACTAACATAGTACGGTTCCAACTCTCTTTTTTGGTCCATCGTCTCCATAAATTTTTTGGAGACTTCTCTTGAACACAGAAGTTCTCCGTGTTATCATTTAATTAAACCTTTCCTCGGGTTTCAAAAACGAAGGCATTTTCCTAGTTGCTGTGAGTTTTCTGGGCTGCCTGGCTGTGTTCCAGAAGCATTCTCTCCTGACGTTTCACCCACATCTCTGGCAGATTATTATTATTATTATTATTATTATTATTATTATTATTATTATTATCTTTTGTGTTTCACAACCACGGATTGCGGCACTGAAGACTCACCCAAAGGTAGCCTTGAGGGAGAGACGTGCTGACGGCAGAGAAACCCAGCAAGGAAGAATGGACCGGACTGTGGACAGCGGCACCCAGCTGGAGATGGACAACATTGGTTTCCACCAAGGAAGACAAAAGAACAAAGAGGGGGAACGTCAGAATTAAAGCATAAGGCCATCCTACATCAGAAAATAGTAGTCGTAGTAGTAGTAGTAGTAGTAGTAGTAGTAGTAATATCAAAGCATAAGGCCATCCTACATCAGAAAATAGCAATAATAATAATAATATCAAAGCATAAGGCCATCCTACATCAGAAAATAGCAATAATAATAATAATAATAATAATAATAATAATAATAATAATAATAATATCGAAGCATAAGGCCATCCTACATCGGAGAATAGTAGCAATAATAATATCAAAACATAACAACGACAAGAACAAAACATAAGGTCATCCTACATCAAAAAATAATAGTAGTAGTCATAATAATAATAATAATAATAATAATAATAATAATAATAATTTCAAGACAAAATGATGATAATAATAATAACAACAACAATATCAAAACATCGGAAAATAGTAGTAGTAGTAATAATAATAATAATAATAATAATAATAATAATATCAAAGCATAAGGCCATCTTACATCAGAAAGTAGTAGTAGTAGTAGTCATATTAATATAAAAAGATAGGGCTATGCTACCTCAGAAAATAATAATAATAATAATAATCATCATCATCATCATCATCATATCAAAACATAAGGCCATCATATGTCGGAAAATAATAGTAGTGGTAGTCATAATAATAATAATAATAATAATAATAATAATATCAAGACATAATGATGATGATGATGATAATAATAATAACAAAAGACCATCCTACATCAGAAAATAATAGTAGTAGTCATAATAATAATAATAATAATAATATCAAAACATAATGATGATGATGATAATAATAATAATAACAACAACAACAATATCAAAACATAAGGCCATCCTACATCGGAAAATAGTAGTAGTAGTAGTCATTATAATAATAATATCAAGGCATAATGATGGTGATAGTAATAACAACAACAACAATATCAAAACATAAGATTGGAAAATAGTAGTAGTAATAGTAGTACATTGGAAAATAGTAGTAGTAATAGTAGTAGTAGTCATATTAATATCAAAAGTTAGGGCTATGCTACCTCAGAAAATAATAATAATAATATCAAAACATAAGGCCATCCTATGTCAGAAAATATTGTTATTGTTGTTTTTATGTTTATTTAACAACAACAACAACAAAATAAGGCATCCTATATTGGAAAATAATAATAACAACAACAACCACAAAACAAGGTCATCCTATGGCAAGAAATAATAATAACAACAACGTTATCCCAGATCAAAAATAACGGCAACAATAATAATAATTTATAATCCACTTTTATCTCAGGAAATATATATATATAGCTCCTGAAATAAAAGCTGATTATATATATATATATATATATATATATATATATATATATATATATATTAGGGCTGGGCGGTTTCGTTTCGTTAATTCGTAATTCGTTAAAAATTCGTTAATTTTTTAATAACGAAGCGATAACGAACCATTCTGGAGCAACTTAAAAACGAAACGAATTTTTAAATACGTTTTGTAAATGCTTCGTATTTCGTTATGTATTCGTTTCGTTATTGGTTTGAGGTCGTTTCGTTATTATTTCCGCATGTCTGGGGCAAGTTTTATAGTTGTTTTTTGTTTAATTAGTGAAAAAAAATTATAATATCACACCAACAGTCAACAACAGAGGGAGAGGGAAGCTTCAGAAGTTTTTTTAGCGTATTGCGCGATCGCGGCCGCCATTAACGAATCGATTCGTTATTGTTTCGTTATTGTTTTGTAATTTTTTTTACCATTTACGAAATTTCGTAAATATCGAACTTTTTTTAAGGAAAATTTTGTAATTATTTTAAATAACGAAACGCAAAAAACCCCAAAAAACGAATCGATTTTAGAAACAAAATTTTCCGTTGTTACCCAGGCCTAATATATATATATATGGAGAAAACCGAGCTCCTTTTCATGAGAAATTAAAAAGAGACGAGAGATGGCGAGATGGCCCATTTCAAAGCAAAGGACACGAGGACACCGAGCGTTTCCCCGTTTTCGGGAGGAAAAGGCAGAGACGGGAGCGCAAAGGACGCGACAAAGCCGACGACGCAGAGCTTTGTAGATTAATCATCCTAAAGGAACACAGGACGTCCCCTGTTCCCATCTGCTCTGCTGTTTTGAAGGAGAGGAGGGGACCCACAGAGAGACAGAGAGAGAGATGAATCGACCATAGATCATGAAGGGGAGAAAAAAAGAGCAAGATCAGCAAGATTACAGAAGGAAAAAGTAGAGATGACCCTATTAAAGACTTCATCCTACCGAACATGTCGAGCGTTTGGAAGAGTAGGTTTCCCATACAGCTCAGGCGTACTCAGGTCAACTATAAAACCCATGATGCAGAGAAGTCGAGCTCTTTCCATTGCACCCTCCCAATAGTATCATACAGCTCAGGCATACTCAGGTCAACTATAAAACCCATGATGCAGAGAAGTCGAGCTCTTTCCATTGCACCCTCCCAATAGTATCATAGGGCACTTTGTTTCTAAAGTCTTTCAGAATGTTTGGTAAGGAACATTTCGGAAATTACGAATCTTCATAATTACTTCGGTAATGGCAGTCACGCATGCCACGTGTAACCACCTCCTCTCTTCTCTTTCCTTCCTCCCTCCCTCCCTTCCGTGTGTTCTGTGTGTCATGTGTTACCTCTCCCTCCTCTCCTCTTCTTCCTTCCTTCCTTCCCTCCCTCCTTCCTTCTTCCTTCCTTCCTTCCTTCCTTCCTTCCTTCCTTCCTTCCTTCCTTCCTTCCGGTCTGCATGCCATGTGTTACCTTCTCCATCCTCTCCTCTTCTTTCTTCCTTCTGTTTGTTGTCTGTGCCATGTGTAACTTCCTCCTCTTCTCCTTCCCTCCCTTCCTTCCTCCCTTCCTCCCTCCCTTCCGTGTGTTCTGTGTGTCATGTGTTACCTCTCCCTCTTCTCCTCTTCTTTCTTCCTTCCTTCCTTCCTCTTCCTTCCTTCCTTCCTTCCTTCCTTCCTTCCTTCCTTCCTTCTTCCTCCTCTCCGTCCTTCCTTCCTTTCCTTCCTTCCTTCCTCCTTCCTTCCTTCCTTTGTTGTTCCTTCCTTCCTTCCTTATCCCTCTCCTTCCTTCCTTCCTTCCTTCCTTCCTTCCTTCCTTCCTTCCTTCCTTCCTTCCTTCCTTCCTTCGGTCTGTTGCCATGTGTTACCTTCTCCATCCTCTCCTCTTCTTTTTTCCTTCCGTTTATTGTCTGTGCCATGTGTAACTTCCTCCTCTTCTCCCTCCCTCCATCCCTCCCTCCCTCCCTTCCTTCCTTCCTTCCTCTTCCGTTCTTTCTCCCTTACCTCCTCCCTCCCTCCCTCCCTTCCTTCCTTCTTTCATGTGTTGTCTGTGCCATGTGTAACTTCCTCCTCTTCTTCCTCCCTCCCTCCCTGCCTCCTCCTCCTCCTTCCCCCTCCTTCCCTCCCCTCCCTCCCCCTCCCTCCCTTCTTCCTTCCTTCCTTCCTTCCTTCCATCCTTCCGTGAGTTGTGTGTGCCATGTGTAACCTCCTCTCCTCCCTCCCTCCCTCCCTCCCTTCCTTCTTTCATGTGTTGTCTGTGCCATGTGTAACTTCCTCCTCTTCTCCCTCCCTCCATCCCTCCCTCCCTCCCTTCCTTCCTTCCATCCTTCCGTGAGTTGTGTGTGCCATGTGTAACCTCCTCTCCTCCCTCCCTCCCTCCCTCCCTCCCTCCCTCCCTTCCTTCTTTCATGTGTTGTCTGTGCCATGTGTAACTTCCTCCTCTTCTCCCTCCCTCCCTCCCTGCCTGCCTGCCTACCTGCCTTCCTTCTTTCATGTGTTGTCTGGGCCATGTGTAACCTCCTCCTCTTCTCCCTCCCTCCCTCCCTCCCTCCCTCCCTTCCTTCCTTCCTTCCTTCCTTCCTTCCTTGTGTTCTTCGTGCCATGTGTTACCTTCTCCATCCTCTCCTCTTCTTTCTTCCTTCCGTGTGTTGTCTGTGCCATGTGTAACCTCCTCCTCTTCTCCTTTCCTTCCTTCCTTTCTTCCTTCCTTCCTTCCTTCCTTACTTACTTACTTACTTACTTCCGTGTGTTCCATGTGCCATGTGTTACCTCTCCCTCCTCTTCTTTCATCCTTCCGTGTGTTGTGTGTGCCATGTGTAACCCGCTCCTTTTCTCCCTTCCTTCCTCCTGTGAGTTGTGTGTGCCATGTGTTGCCTCCTCCTCCTCCTCCTCCCCTGGTTGAACCCAAGGGCCCTCTAACCCAACCCCCTTCTTTCAGCCAAGTAGCAAAGACACAATCAAAGCACTCCAGACAGATGGCCATCCTGCTTCTGAATAATAAAAAGGCGGTCGGATTGGATGTCCTCTAGGGTCTCTCCCAACTCTTACGAATGGACTTTCGCAAAGGCTTACCTGTAAGTCCAGGGCTCTGGAAGAGAAGGCCAAGAAGCGGCAGACCAGAATGGGGCAGCGGAAGGGAGCCTTGCTCTTCTTGTCTTCCTCGGGACACAGCCAGCCGGGCTGGTTCTCTTCCCCTGAGGCAAGACAAAGAATCCCTGTTAACACGCTGCACTGCAACTCCCATCATCCCCAGCCAGGGCTTTTAAGTGCCAAAGCATCACATATGCACATCATAAAACCCTCAAACCTGTCTAGCGTGTTCAGTTTGCTGGAGAGGGAGTGGGCGGGGTCATGCAAATTTCACACCAATGGAGAGAGGAAGAAACACTGGGATGTCTGTGGTGGAGGAAGCACATAAAATCTAGGCTGGAATTGTCCCCATATGAATGCCTTCACTTGGGTTGTGAGCAGTATGGTGGGGCTCTTGGACATGTTCATGGTACTCACTATAACCTGTAATGTTATTGGAAGGAGGGCCACTGGTGAGCAGTGGGAGCCTGTCTGTGTAAGTGGACACTCCGGCCACTTAAATATATACACATCAAATGGATCAAATGGATTTGATGGACATATGCATTATCTATACATACACATCAGACATGCACATATTTTATGAACATATGACTATAAATATATATGCACATCATATATATACATATTTTATGCATTTATGCATCATAAATATGTCATCATCATCGACAATCACTCGTGTCCGAGTAGACCAAGGCATGGGCCACCCTGGCCAAATAAGCCTTCGCGAGGTACGGTCGCAGTTGGCACACAAGTCTCAGTTCTGCGAAACTGCAGACCTGTGACTTCAGGGGGAGTGTAACCCCGTCCAACACAGGTTGCCACCCTATACCCTGGTCAGGTTTGCGATCGACCAGAAGGACCTCTGTCTTGTCAGGATTGATCTTCAGCTTGTTCCTCCTCATCCAGATAGACACAGCGGCCAGGCACTCGTCCAACACTCGAGAGGCCTCCTTGGAGTTCGGTGGAAAAGAGTAGTAGAGTTGCGCGTCATCTGTGTAGAGATGGCACCCAACTCCAAAACTCTGGATGACCTCTCCCAGCGGTTTCATGTAGATGTTAAAAAGCATGGGAGACAAAACAGAGCCTTGCAGGACCCCACAGGTCAAAGGCCAGGGATCCAAGCAGGCATCTCCCAGCTTCACCATCTGGGATCGACACTCCAGGAAGGATCGGAGCCACGACAAGACCGTGCCCCCGAGACCCATCCCAGAGAGTCGCCCCAGAAGGATACCATGATCGATGGTATCGAAAGCTGCTGAGATGTCCAAGAGAACCAACAAGGTCACACTCCCCCTGTCCAGCTCTCTACAGAGGTCATCCACCAAGGCGACCAAGGCTGTCTCGGTACCATGACCAGACCTGAAACCAGACTGTGACTGATCTAGGTAGTTGATGTCATCTAAAGAGCCCTGAAGCTGGGCTTATACATATTCTACGTATACATATTCTACGTATATATGCATCATAAATATATCGTCGTCATCTGCGATCACTCGCGTCTGAGTAGGATGGCCTTCCAAGTCACATATACTCACAAACGTATACATATTCTACGTATATATGCATCATAAATATATTGTTATCATCTGCGATCACTCACGTCCGAGTAGGATGGCCTTCCAGGTCACATATACTCACAAACGTATACATATTCTACATATATATGCATCATAAATATATCGTCGTCATCTGCAATCACTCGCATCCAAGTAGGATGGCCTTCCAAGTCCCATATACTCACAAACATATACATATTCTACGTATATATGCACCATAAATATATTGTCATCATCGATGATCACTTGCGTCCAAGTAGGATGGCCTTCCAAGTCACATATACTCACAAACGTATACATATTTTGCGTATACATGCATCATAAATATACCATCATCGACAATCACTTGTGTCCGAGTAGGATGGCTGTCCAAGTCCCATATACTCACAAACATATACATATTCTACGTATATATGCACCATAAATATATTGTCATCATCGATGATCACTTGCGTCCAAGTAGGATGGCCTTCCAAGTCACATATACTCACAAACGTATACATATTTTGCGTATACATGCATCATAAATATACCATCATCGACAATCACTTGTGTCCGAGTAGGATGGCTGTCCAAGTCCCATATACTCACAAACATATACATATTCTACGTATATATGCACCATAAATATATTGTCATCATCGATGATCACTTGCGTCCAAGTAGGATGGCCTTCCAAGTCACATATACTCACAAACGTATACATATTTTGCGTATACATGCATCATAAATATACCATCATCGACAATCACTTGTGTCCAAGTAGGATGGCTGTCCAAGTCACATATACTCGCTAACATATACATATTCTATGTATATATGCATCATAAATATATTGTCATCATCGGTGATCACTCGTGTCCAAGTAGGATGGCCGTCCAAGTCACATATACTCACAAACGTAAACATATTCTACATATATATGCATCATAAATATATCGTCATCATCGACAATCATTTGTGTCCAAGTAGGATAGCCTTCCAAGTGTATAATAAATATATACACCCCCATCAAATATGTATTATTTTAATTACATATGCATCATAAATATGCACACACAATCATATAAGTACGTATTTTAATTACACAGACAAAGGCATCATAAATATATACACCGTTACAGCCTACTCACAAACTCAGGCTGAAATTAAAACACATATATATATATATATATATATATATATATATATATATATATACACACACATACATACACACACACACACACACACACACACACTTACAGCAAGTAGATAAATCAAACAGACGGATACACATGCCCATCTATTACAAAATGTTCCTCATCAAGAGTTTGTAATGTGTTTTATTTTTAAACGCATTTCCCCGCAGGGCCTTTCCGATTCAAGCAGGCCAACAAACCGCCTCCTTCCCTTTCCCGTTTCATGAAAGCAAAATCAAATCATCGCTGGGAATTCAAATAGGATTTGAAAATGAAGTTTTCTTTCCCTCTTTTTTCTCTTCCCTTTTCTTAAAATGGAAGAGAAAATAAAGATAGGATTCGCTTTTTAATATACACTAAAGTCTCGCTTATCCGACCTTTGCTTATCCGACATTCTGTCTTATCCGACGTTCCCCTTTTCCTCCAGCATTTCCCCTTCGAATAAAAGAGCGCATTTCCCCAACTCTCTCTCCTTTCCCAAGATTGAGAGATACAGTAGAGTCTCGCTTATCCGACCTTCGCTTATCCAATGCTCTTATCCAATGTTCCCCCTTTTCCTCCAGCATTTCCCCTTCAATGAAAGGCATGCTCCCCAACTCTCTCTCCCTTCCCAGTAGAGTCTCGTTTATCCGACCTTCACTTATCTGACATTCCGTCTTATCCAACGCTTCCCCTTTTCCTCCAGCATTTCCCCTTCAATTAAAGGAGCACATTTCCCCAACTCTCTCTCCCTTCCCAGTAGAGTCTCGCTTATCCGACCTTCACTTATACGACATTCCGTCTTACCCAGCATTTCCCCTTCAATGAAAGGCGTGCTCCCCAACTCTCTCTCCCTTCCCAGTAGAGTCTCATTTACCCGACCATCACTTATCTGACATTCCATCTTATCCGGCGCTTCCCCTTTTCCTCCAGCATTTCGCCTTCGATTAAAGGAGCGCTCCCCAACTCTCTCTCCCTTCCCAGTAGAGTCTCACTTATCCGACCTTCACTTATCCGACATTCCGTCTTATCCAATGCTTCCCCTTTTCCTCCAGCATTTCGCCTTCGATTAAAGCAGCGCTCCCCAACTCTCTCTCCATTCCCAGTAGTCTCACTTATCCGACCTTCGCTTATCCAACATTTTGTCTTATCTGACGCTCTTATTTGATATCCCCCTTTTCCTCCAGCATTTTCCCGTCAATTCAAGGAGCGCTCCCCAACTCTCTCTCCATTCCCAGTAGTCTCGCTTATCCAACCTTCACTTATCCGACATTCTGTCTTATCCGACGCTTCCCCTTTTCCTCCAGCATTTTGCCTTCGATTAAAGGAGCACTCTCCAACTCTCTCTCCATTCCCAGTAGAGTCTCGCTTATCCGACATTCACTTATCCAACATTCTGTCTTATCCGATGTTCCCTTTTTCCTCTAGTATTTCCCCTTCAATTAAAGGAGTGCTCCCCAACTCTCTCTCCCTTCCCAGTAGTCTCGCTTATCCGACCTTTACTTATCCAACATTCCGTCTTATCCGACGTTCCCTTTTTCCTCTAGTATTTCCCCTTCAATTAAAGGAATGCTCCCCAACTCTCTCTCCCTTCCCAGTAGAGTCTCGCTTATCCAACCTTCACTTATCCGACATTCCATCTTATCCAATGCCCCCTTTTCCTCCAGCATTTCTCCGATTAAAGGAGCACTCCCCAACTCTCTCTCCATTCCCAGTAGTCTCGCTTATCCGACCTTCACTTATCTGACATTCCATCTTATCTGACTCTCTTATTCGACATCCCCCTTTTCCTCCAGCATTTTCCCGTCAATTCAAGGAGCGCTCCCCAACTCTCTCTCCATTCCCAGTAGTCTCGCTTATCCAACCTTCACTTATCTGACATTCCGTCTTATCCGATGCTTCCCCTTTTCCTCCAGCATTTTGCCTTCGATTAAAGGAGCACTCTCCAACTCTCTCTCCATTCCCAGTAGTCTCGCTTATCCGACCTTTACTTATCCAACATTCCGTCTTATCCGACGTTCTCCTTTTCCTCTAGTATTTCCCCTTCAATTAAAGGACTGCTCCCCAACTCTCTCTCCCTTCCCAGTAGAGTCTCGCTTATCTGACCTTTACTTATCCGACATTCCGTCTTATTCGAGGCTCTTATTCAACACCCCCCGTTTCCTCCAGCATTTTCTCGTCAATTAAAGGAGCGCTCCCAAACTCTCTCCCCATTCCCAGTAGAGTCTCGCTTATCTGACCTTCACATATCCGACATTCCGTCTTATCTGACACCCCCTTTTATTCCAGCATTTCCCTTTCAATTAAAGGAGTGCTCCCCAACTCCCTCTCCATCCCCAAGATAGATAGATAGATAGAGTCTCACTTATCCAACCTTTGCTTTGTTTTCATTCAACTGTGTAATTTTGGTGTGCTTTGGAAGAACTCTTGTTTAATCCGGGTTTTTTGCCGGGTTTAATCCAGATTATTGACTGAGTTTGTTTTACAAGCTAGAAATTGCTACAGCCTTTGAGTTTTGACCGGAGGCACTGAAGTAAGTGTCTCTGTGTCCTGTTTACTTTGCTTTAATAAACTATTGTTTTGGACATACTCCTGAGTCTGGCTCTTTAAGGCACCTGGGTTCCGACAGTTACTACATGTATTTGCTGAATCATAGAATCAAAGAGTTGGAAGAGACCTCATGGGCCATCCAGTCCAACCCCATTCTGCCAAGAAGCAGGAATATTGCATTCAAATCACCCCTGACAGATGGCCATCCAGCCTCTGCTTAAAAGCTTCCAAAGAAGGAGCCTCCACCACACTCCGGGGCAGAGAGTTTCACTGCTGAACGGCTCTCACAGTCAGGAAGTTCTTCCTCATGTTCAGATGGAATCTCCTCTCTTGTAGTTTGAAGCCATTGTTCCCTTGCGTCCTAGTCTCCAGGGAAGCAGAAAACAAGTTTGTTCCCTCCTCCCTGTGGCTTCCTCTCACATATTTATACATGGCTATCATATCTCCTCTCAGCCTTCTCTTCTTCAGGCTAAACATGCCCAGCTCCTTAAGCCGCTCCTCATAGGGCTTGTTCTCCAGACCCTTGATCATTTTAGTCGCCCTCCTCTGGACACATTCCAGCTTGTCAGATTGAGCTTCCCTTCTCCGAAATGTTTGGGACCAGAAATGTTTCGGAATATTTTTCTTTTTCAGATGATGAAATATTCCTTTCCTCGATTCCATTGGAGTACAACTCCTAGCAAGTGAGGCATGATGGGAGTGACGGCCTTCCATCTCAAAGCGGATCTCTGAAAATCTTTGGAGATGGCCAAACTACTATCGTTTCCTTCGGACAGCTGCCGTTCATCGGGGAGTATAGTTTCATCCTTTTTTTAAAAAAAATTCCCTTCGCCGGCAGCCTCAGGGAGATCAGCATTTTTAATTACAGGAAAATTAGAAAGGCAAACCAGAAAGCCTGCTAATTGAAAGCCAAAAGGCAGGTGCCAGCATCGTACACATCAATTACCGCCAGACACACAGAAAATGTCTTAAATACATGGAAGAAAAATTAGCAAAAGCAATGTTATTTTAAAAAAAAATTAATCTGCAAAGGTGAGAGGCATAAAAGCACGGCGGAGAGTGGAAAAAAAGAAAGGGGCAATTGGAACAGTATCTAGCATTACTAGCTGTACCCAGCCACGTGTTGCTGTGGCCCTCAGAGGTTGGACTAGATGGCCTTTGGGGCTCCCTTCCAACTGTTTAGCCATCTATCGGGTAGACTTTGATGGTGTCTTTCTTTACCGCCCAATGAGGTTGGACCGGATGGCCTTCAGGGCTCCTTTCCAACTGGACGGCCATCTGTCAGGTAGACTTTGATGGTGTCTTTCTTTACCGCCCAATGAGGTTGGACCGGATGGCCTTCGGGGCTCCTTTCCAACTGGATGGCCATCTGTCAGGTAGACTTTGATGGTGTTTTTCTTTACCGCCCAATGAGGTTGGACTGGATGGTTTTTGGGGCTCCCTTCCAACTGGTTGGCCATCTGTCGGGTAGACTTTGACGGTGTCTTTCTTTACCACCCAATGAGGTTGGACTGGATGGCCTTTGGGGCTCCCTTCCAACTGGTTGGCCATCTGTCGGGTAGACTTTGATGGTGTCTTTCTTTACCGCCCAATGAGGTTGGACTGGATGGCCTTTGGGGCTCCCTTCCAACTGGTTGGCCATCTGTCGGGTAGACTTTGACGGTGTCTTTCTTTACCACCCAATGAGGTTGGACTGGATGGCCTTTGGGGCTCCCTTCCAACTGGTTGGCCATCTGTCGGGTAGACTTTGATGGTGTTTTTCTTTACCGCCCAATGAGGTTGGACTGGATGGCCTTTGGGGCTCCCTTCCAACTGGTTGGCCATCTATTGGGTAGACTTTGATGGTGTCTTTCTTTACCGCCCAATGAGGTTGGACTGGATGGCCTTTGGGGCTCCTTTCCAACTGGATGGCCATCTGTTGGGAGGGCTTTGATGGTGTCTTCCTTTAAAGTGGTTGGGCTGGATGGCCTATGGGACCCCTTTAACTACCATGGCTCAATGCTGTGGAATAATTCCATGGTGTAGACCAGGTAGGGACAGACTTGGGCCCTCCAGGGGTTTTGGACTCCAACTCCCACAATTCCTAACATATTACCGCATAGTTACCGGGAACGGGCCGACCACAAGGCCACAGTTACCCCATGGGCTTCTGGAAACAACAACTGAACACAGGGTACAAAGGTTGTTACATGTTTACTGGTCACTGACCACAGGGTCAACCACAAGGGGTGTGTTATGTTACTGGAATGTGGTTGCTAAATGCATTGTCAAGCGTATATAAGCCCAACGTTCGTCTCAATCGGGGCGGGCAGTTTGGTTCCGGCATACTGTGTGATATGCCGCCTATCCGCCTTCCTATCGCGCAACAGGAATAAACCACATTTTGCCCTAACTTTTTTGGACTCTGCTTCATCCAAAGCGGCTCAGCAAGGATCCGGTTGGTAAGATTTGGGAACACCGGCGAGTTTCCCTTACAGCAGAATATAAATGCTGCAAATAAATAAATTCTGGAACACAAGAGAGTATGTTAGTTTGCCTCAGTCTGAGAGAGCTCTCAATAGGCCTCAGTATGAGAAGGCCTCAGTGTTAGTTTGCCTCAGTCTGAGAGAGCTCAGTGTTAGTTTGCCTCAGTCTGAGAGAGCTCTCAGTAGGCCTCAGTATGAGAAGGCCTCAGTTTGCCTCAGTCTGAGAGAGCCCTCAGTGTGAGAAGGCCTCGGTAGGCCTCAGTATGAGAAGGCCTCAGTGTGAAGGAAGCCCCAGGTTGAAGGTCATATTGTGTATCTGTGGCATTGAATGTTTGCCATGTATGTGCGCATTGTAATCCGCCCTGAGTCCCCTGCTGTGTGGTGAGAAGGGCAGAATATAAGTGATGCAAATAAATAAATACATAAATTCTTGAACACAAAGAGAGTATGAGAAGGCCTCACTGCTTGTTTGCTTCAGTCTGAGAGAGCCCTCAGTGGGAGAAGGCCTCAGTAGGCCTCATTATGAGAAGGTCTCAGTGTGAGGGAAGCCCCAGGTTGAAGGCCATGTTGTGTGTCTGTGGCATTGAAAGTTTGTAATGTGTATGTGCATTGTGATCCTCCCTGAGTCCCCTGCTGCGAGTTGAGAAGGGTGGAATATAAATGCTGCAAATAAATAAATACATAAATTCTGGAACACAAGAGAGTATGAGAAGGCCTCAGTGTGAAGGAAGTCCCAGGTTGAAGGCCATGTTGTGTATCTGTGGCATTGAATGTTTGTCATGTATATGCGCATTGTGATCCGCCCTGAGTCCCCTGCTGCGAGTTGAGAAGGGTGGAATATAAATGCTGCAAATAAATAACTAAATGAATTCTGGAACACAAGAGAGTATGAGAAGGCCTCAGTGTGTGGGAAGCCCCAGGTTGAAGGCCATGTTATGTATCTGTGGCATTGAATGTTTGTCATGTATATACGCATTGTGATCCACCCTGAGTCCCCTGTGGGGTGAGAAGGGCGGAATACAAATGCTACAAATAAATAATTTCTGGAACAAAAGAGAGTATGAGAAGGCCTCAGTGTTAGTTTGCCTCAGTCTGAGAGAGCCCTCAGTGGGAGAAGGCCTCAGTAGGCCTCAGTATGAGAAGGCCTCAGTGTGAGGGAAGCATATATAAATATACAGTAGAGTCTTGCTTATCCAACATCAATGGGCTGGCAGAACGTCAGATAAACAAATACAGAGTCTTCTACTCGAAGGCGCACAACAACAACAACAACAACAACAACAACTGATGTACTCACGGAGGGCGATTTTGGCTAAGTGCAAGCGATTCACCCAGGAGATTTTGCTGAGCGGGTTCGGGGTGATGAAGACCACCATGACGCTGATGGGCCGGCCAGACCTGGGTTCGAGAACAGAGGAAGGAGGAGAGGATGGATCCAGCGCACTACGGAACCAATAGGGAAGGGCGTCCCAACTCTTCAAGGAATATAGGAACGTGGGAATTGGAAGGAAGCAGGGACCTACTTGTCTGGTTTTCCGGGGAGGAGGAGGCGGAGGCGGCATTTGTTGGCCGAGTGGATCTCTTCCTCCTTGACCCGCACCAGTCGCTGGAGGGCCAGGCACCAGTCTTGGGCCACCGTCATGTTCAGGTTCTGCCACAAAGGAAGGAGAGAAGGCTCAGACCAGGACTGAAGGGATTGGGTCCGATTGACCCCCCGATGGGCACCACAAGCTCTAGATCCTGTCTTACTACATACTACTATTATCACACTATGTAACAACAACAACAATAATGTATTTATGGCTTGCTGTGGGTTTTCTGGGCTGCCTGGCCATGTTCCAGTAGCATTCTCTCCTGACGTTTTGCCCACATCTATGGTAGGCATCCTCAGAGGTTGTGAGTCTATAATAATAATAATAATAATAATAATAATAATAATACTGTAATAATAATAATAATAATAATAATAATAATACTGTAATAATAATGATGATGATGATGATGTATTTATTGGTTGCTGTGGGTTTTCTGGCCTGCCTGGCCATGTTCCCGTAGCATTCTCTCCTGACGTTTTGCCCACATCTATGGTAGGCATCCTCAGAGGTTGTGAGTCTATAATAATAATAATAATAATAATAATAATAATAATAATAATAATAATAATACAATAATAATACTGTAATAATAATAATAATAATAATGTAATAATGATGATGATGATGATGTATTTATTGGTTGCTGTGGGTTTTCTGGCCTGCCTGGCCATGTTCCAGTAGCATTCTCTCCTGACATTTTGCCCACATCTATGGTAGGCATCCTCAGAGGTTGTGAGTCTATAATAATAATAATAATAATAATAATAATAATAATAATAATAATACAATAATAATACTGTAATAATAATAATACTGTAATAATGGTTGTGACTCTATAATATGTATACCACAATAATAATAATAATAATATTAATAATAATAATACTGTAACAACAATAACAACAACAGTAATAATATATTTATGGATTGCTGTGGGTTTTCTGGGCTGTCTGGCCATGTTCCAGAAGCATTCTCTCCTGATGTTTTACCCACATCTATGGCAGGCAGCCTCACAGGTTGTGAGTCTATAATAATAATGCCACAACAACAACAATAATGTATTTATATGTTGCTGTGAGTTTTCTGGGCTGTCTGGCCATGTTCCAGAAGCATTCTCTCCTGATGTTTTGCCCACATCTATGGTAGGCATCCTCACAGCTTGTGAGTCTATAATAATAATGCCACAACAACAACAACAACAACAACAACAACAACAATAATAATGTATTTATATGTTGCTGTGAGTTTTCTGGGCTGTCTGGCCATGTTCCGGAAGCATTCTCTCCTGACATTTCACCTACATCTATAGCAGGCATCCTCAGAGTTTGTCAGTCTATAATAATAATACTGTATTAATAATAACAATAATAACAATAATAACAATAATAATATGGCAGGCATCCTAAGAGGTTATGAGTCTATTATAATAATAATACTACAATAATAATAATACCGTAATAATAATAATAATAATGTAGTAATAATAATAATACTGTAATAATAATAATACAATAACAAAAGTAATAGTAACTGTAATAATAATATAAATATGTATTAGATATAAATGGCATGTTAACAACAATAATATAATAATAATACTGTAATAATAATATAATATAATACTGAAATAATCATAATAGCAACAATAATAATAATAACACAATAATAGTAATAGTAATATTACCATAATAATAATAATAATAATAATAATAATAATAATAATAATAATATGAATTAAATATGAACGGCATGTTAACAATGGCCCACCTGGTATGTCCCGTGGAGGGTGCTGATGAGCAGCGTGATCTGTTCCACCACCGCAAGGTCCTTCTGAAGGTCCTGGAGCTCCTGGAAGAGGCGAGGGGGGCCCAGGTAGACTTTATCTGAGGGGAGAGTCCAAAGGCATCCAAGGGAATGAAACCACGAGCCGTGGAAGGAGGAGAACAAGGAGAAGGAGAACGAAGAAAAGAAGGAGGAGAAGGAGGAGAACAATGAGAAGGAGCACAATGAGAAGGAGAAGAAGTAGAATGAAGAAAAGAAGGAGGAGAAGGAGGAGAACAAGGAGCAGGGGACAATGAGAAGGAGAACAAGGAGAAGGAGAAGTAGAACAAAGAAAAGAAGGAGGAGAACAAGGAGCAGGGGACAATGAGAAGGAGAATGAAGAGAAGCAGAAGGAGAAGGAGGAGGAGGAGGAGAACAATAAGAAGAAAAATTAGGAGAATGAGAACGAAGGGAAGGAGGAGGAGAAGGAGGAGAACAAGGAGCAGGGGACAATGAGAAGGAGAACAAGGAGAAGGAGAAGGAGAACAAAGAAAAGAAGGAGGAGAACAAGGAGCAGGGGACAATGAGAAGGAGAATGAAGAGAAGCAGAAGGAGAAGGAGGAGGAGGAGGAGAACAATAAGAAGAAAAATTAGGAGAATGAGAACGAAGGGAAGGAGGAGGAGAAGGAGGAGAACAAGGAGCAGGGGACAATGAGAAGGAGAACAAGGAGAAGGAGAAGGAGAACAAAGAAAAGAAGGAGGAGAACAAGGAGCAGGGGACAATGAGAAGGAGAATGAAGAGAAGCAGAAGGAGAAGGAGGAGGAGAGAAGAACAATAAGAAGAAAAATGAGGAGAATGAGAACGAAGGGAAGGAGGCGGAGAATGAGGAGAACAAGGAGCAGGGGACAATGAGAAGGAGAATGAAGAGAAGCAGGAGGAGGAGAACAAAAGAAGATCAGGATAATGAGAATGAAGGGAAGAAGGAGGAGAACAAGGAGGAGAACAAAGAGAAGCACAAGGGGAAGGAAGACGAGGGGAATGAGGAGAAGGAGAACAAGGAGAAGGAGAATGAGAATGAAGGGAAGGAGGAGGAGAAAGAGGAGAAGGAGGAGGAGGAGAATGAAGAAAAGAAGGAGGAGAACAAGGAGCAGGGGACAATGAGAAGGAGAACAAAGAGAAGGAGAAGGAGAACAAAGAAAAGAAAAAAGGAGAACAAGGAGCAGGGGTAATGAGAAGGAGAATGAAGAGAAGCAGGAGGAGGAGGAGAACAAGGAGAAGAATGAGGATAATAAGAATGAAGGGAAGGAGAACAAGGAGAAGGAGAATGAAGGGAAGGAGGAGGAGAAGGAGGAGAACAAGGAGAAAGAGAACGAAGAGAAGCACAAGGAGAAGGAAGACAAGGGGAATGAGGAGAAGGAGAACAAGGAGAAGGAGGAGAACAATGAGAAGGAGCACAATGAGAAGGAGAAGAAGTAGAACGAAGAAAAGAAGGAGGAGAAGGAGGAGAACAAGGAGAACAAGGAGAAGGAGAAGTAGAACAAAGAAAAGAAGGAGGAGAACAAGGAGCAGGGGACAATGAGAAGGAGAATGAAGAGGAGCAGAAGGAGAAGGAGGAGGAGAAGAACAATAAGAAGAAAAATGAGGAGAATGAGAACGAAGGGAAGGAGGCGGAGAATGAGGAGAACAAGGAGCAGGGGACAATGAGAAGGAGAATGAAGAGAAGCAGGAGGAGGAGAACAAAAGAAGATCAGGATAATGAGAATGAAGGGAAGAAGGAGGAGAACAAGGAGGAGAACAAAGAGAAGCACAAGGGGAAGGAAGACGAGGGTGAGGAGGAGAACAAGGAGAAGGAGAATGAGAATGGAGGAGGAGAAAGAGGAGAAGGAGGAGGAGGAGAATGAAGAAAAGAAGGAGGAGAACAAGGAGCAGGGGACAATGAGAAGGAGAACAAAGAGAAGGAGAAGGAGAACAAAGAAAAGAACAAGGAGAACAAGGAGCAGGGGTAATGAGAAGGAGAATGAAGAGAAGCAGGAGGAGGAGGAGAACAAGGAGAAGAATGAGGATAATAAGAATGAAGGGAAGGAGAACAAGGAGAAGGAGAAGGAGAATGAAGGGAAGAAGGAGGAGAAGGAGGAGAACAAGGAGAAAGAGAACGAAGAGAAGCACAAGGAGAAGGAAGACGAGGGGAATGAGGAGAAGGAGAACAAGGAGAAGGAGGAGAACAATGAGAAGGAGCACAATGAGAAGAAGAAGAAGTAGAACGAAGAAAAGAAGGAGGAGAAGGAGGAGAAGGACCCAGGAGGGGCAGAGAGGGGGTCCCCCCAGACTCACTGTGTGTGGAGGCCTGGCTACTGGGCATGTGCCGCTTGGAGGCCACGTTCTGGACCACCAGGTGGTCCTTCTCCTGAGCTCCGCTGTTGCCACCGCTGCCCTCCTGGCCGACCTCCACCACCTGGACCTGAGGGAGGGCCGCGTTCCACTTCACAATGTATTTGGGGCCCAGAGGGACCAGGCTGCTGATCTCAAGCTGGCCCCTGGAGAAGAAAGGAATGGAAAGGTAAAGGAAACTGGTTGCGCTTTTAATCATAATAACCACAAGAAGAAGAAAGGGAGGAGGACAAGGAGGAGAAGAAAAAGGATGAGAAGGGCAAGAAGAAAGAGGAGCAGGAGGAGAAGGAGAAGGAAAAGAGGAAGAAAGAATAAGGGGAGAAGAAGAAAAAGGAGGAGGACAAGGAGGAGGAGGAAGAAGAAGGAGAAGGAGGAGGAGGAGGAAAAGGACAAGGAGAAAGACGAGGAGAAGGGAGAGAAGAAGGAGAAGAAAAAGGAGGAGGACAAGGAGAAAGAGGAGGAGAGAAGAAGAAGAAAAAGGATGAGAAGGGCAAGAAGAAAGAGGAGCAGGAGGAGAAGGAGAAGGAAAAGAGGAAGAAAGAATAAGGGGAGAAGAAGAAAAAGGAGGAGGACAAGAAGGAGGAGGAAGAGGAAGGAGAAGGAGGAGGAGGAGGAAAAGGACAAGGAGAAAGACGAGGATAAGGGAGAGAAGAAGGAGAAGAAAAAGGAGAAGGACAAGAAGAAAGAGGAGGAGGAGAAGTGGGTGAACGGAGAAGGAAAAGAAAGAGGAGAAAGAGAAGGGGAAGGAGGAGGAGGATGAAGAGTGGGAAGAACAAGAACAAGTAGGAGGAGAACAAGGATGTCAAGAAGGAGAAAGAGAAAGGGGAGACAGAGAAAGGAGGAGGAAGAGGAGGAGAAAGGAGGAGAAAGGAGGAGGAGAAGAAGAAAAAGGAGAAGTGGAAGAAAGATGGAGAAGGAAGAGAAAGAGGAGAAAGAGAAGGGAAAGGAGGAGGAGGGCGAAGTGTAGGAGGTGAAAGAGAAGGAGAAGGAAGAGAAAGAAAAGGAGAAGGAGGAGAATGAGAAGGAAAATGGAGGAGAACGGGGAGGAGGAGGAAGAGAAGGGAGAGAAGAAAAAGGAGGAGAAAGACAAGAAGAAGGAGAAGAAGAAGGAGAAGTGGAAGAAAGGAGAAGGAAGAGGAGATGGATAAGGAAGAGGGAGGAGGAAGAGGAGGAGGTGAAAGAGAAGAAGGAAGAGAAAGAAAAGGAGAAGGAGGAGAAAGAGAAGGAAAATGGAGGAGAACGGGGAGGAGGAGGAAGAGAAGGGAGAGAAGAAAAAGGAGGAGAAAGACAAGAAGAAGGAGAAGAAGAAGGAGAAGTGGAAGAAAGGAGAAGGAAGAGGAGATGGATAAGGAAGAGGGAGGAGGAAGAGGAGGAGGTGAAAGAGAAGAAGGAAGAGAAAGAAAAGAGAAGGAGGAGAAAGAGAAGGAAAATGGAGGAGAACGGGGAGAAGGAGAAGGAGGAGGAGAAGGAAGAAAAAGAGAAAGAAAGAAGGAGAATAAGAAAGAGGAGAATGAGGATGACAAGAAGGAGAAAGGGGAGACAGAGAAGGAGAAGGAAAAGAAGGAGGAGAAAGAGAAGAAGGAATATAAGAGATGCGCAAAGCTCCAAGTATTTGTGCCCAGTCCATTTCCTATCTTAGTCCCAACTTTGAAGTCTGTCCCAAGCACCACTTAAAAATATTCATTGTTTACATGAATAATAATAATATAATTATATAATAATAATAATAATAATAATAATAATAACAATAATATAATAATAATATAATAATAATAATAATAATAATATAATATAATAATAATATAATAATATAATATAATTATTATATAATAATATAATATAATAATTATATAATAATAATAATAATATAATATAATATGATTATTATATAATATATAATAATAATATAATATAATAATAATAATAATATATTATAATATGTTCATTGTTTACATGAATTCATCACATCTTTTTGTATCTTGGTGTTGTGAGGTAGTATTAAATAAACAAGATTTTGGGAGGGGAGGCTAGGCTCCAGCACTTGGGACAGCGACTTTAAAGTTTGGACCAAAACCTGGAACGGATCCCCAATGCACAGACGAGATTGGGTTCCCAAGCACAGCAGAACCAAACCCCACTGCAAAACACAACGGTAAATTTGAGGAAATAACGCCGGCATGCACAACCTCGGCACGGCACGCCAACCCAAAGGATGCAAAGGCCTACCTGGTACCAATCGGCCTGCGGAAGAGAGACATCATAATGTAAGTCAATGGCATCTCCTTGCACCTCCTTGACTCCACATTTGCACCTCACACTTGCTCAAAAACTAGAGAGAGGAGCGAACGTATTCCCACCTACGGACATTTTTACAACTAAGGTGAGCCTTTCTCACACTTTGTGGCAAGGTGTAATCGTAACGGAGGCTAAACACGACGCCCCGGAGGGAAAGAGTCCCGACCTGACCCCTCTCTCCCGTAAACACGCAATTGCAACGGGCACGCACTTGAAGTTGATGTTGGCGCAGACCAGCATGTCGTTCAGCAGGAAGACTTTCCGCTCCTTGGACTTGATGAGCTGGCCCCGGTCGCCATAAACTGTCTCGGTCAACGTCTCGCAGAGCAGCAGTTGGCGCTGACCCGAGGTTAACAACTGCGGAGAGATGGGGATGGCAGAGAAGAAGAACGGCTGCCTTTCTTTCGCGGCAAGGTTAATGGGACACGGACGCGGCCGAACATCGCAAAGCCCGTTCCGAAAGACGCACGTCCCCAAACAATAACGCTGAGACCAACAAGGGGAAGACGTGGCCGCTGGAACTGATGGAAATAGTCAAAGCTTCAAGACCAAAGCTCTTGAGGCAACTTATTTCAAGACAACAGAAGAAGGGAATCATCTAAAGCAGTGGTTCCCAACCCTTTAATGACCACAGACCACTTGACCAGGGACCACTTTGACCAAGGACCACTTTGACCAGGGACCACTTGACCAGGGACCACTTGACTAATGACCACTTCACCAGGGACCACTTGACCAGGGACCACTTTGACTAGGGACCACTTTGAACAGGGACCACTTGAACAAGGACCACTTGAACAGGGACCACTTGACCAGGGACCACTTTGACTAGGGACCACTTTGAACAGGGACCACTTGAACAAGGACCACTTGAACAGGAATCACTTTGACCAGGGACCACTTCAACAGGGACAACTTTGACCAGAGACCACTTCAACAGGGACCACTTGACCAGGGAACCACTTGACTAATGACCACTTCACCAGGGACCACTTGATCAGGGACCACTTTGACAAGGGACCACTTCAACAGGGACAACTTTGACCAGGGGCCACTTGAACAGGGACCACTTGAACAGGGACCACTTGAACAGGGACCACTTTGACAGGGGACCACTTGACTAGGGACAACTTTGACCAGAGACCACTTCAACAGACCACTTTACCAGGGACCACTTGACCAGGACCACTTGACCAGGCATCAGGGACACTTGATCAGGGACCACTTTGACCAGGGACCACTTGACCAGGGACCACTTGACCAGGGACCACTTTGACCAGGGACCACTTGACCAGGGACCACTTGGACCAGGAACCACTTGACCAGGGACCACTTTGACCAGGGACCACTTTGACCAGGGACCACTTGACCAGGGACCACTTTGACCAGGGACCACTTGACCAGGGACCACTTTGACCAGGGACCACTTGACCAGGAACCACTTTGACCAGGGACCACTTGACCAGGGACAAGTTCACCGTGGACCACTTCACTAAGGACCTCTTGACCAGGAACCACTTTGATCAGGGACCACTTTGACCAGGGACCACTTGACCAGGGACAACTTCACCGTGGACCATTTCACTAAGGACCACTTGACCAGGGACCACTTTGACCAGGGACCACTTGACTAAGGACCACTTTGACCAGGGACCACTTCACCAGGGACAACTTCACCAGGGACGACTTGACCAGGGACCACTTTGACCAGGGACTACTTCACTGGGGACCACTTTGACCAGGGACCGCTTAACCAAGGACCACTTGAACAGGAACCACTTGTATAGGAAGAAGGGAATTGCTTATCAGGAAATAATGGCATGGCTAGTAAGCAAAGGCCCACCCCAAATATTAAGCTTTCCCTGCACATCCCCAGAGTGATCTCCTGACCTTGTGGAGGCTGCTGCGGTCGCTGATGCTCTTGGTCAGCTGCTGGATTTCGGCCAGTTGGTCAGCAAGCCGCTTCTGCTCGTTCAGTTTCTCCGCCAAGGTCTCCAGCTCGGTGAGGGCCAGCTGGAGGGACAGCCGGTCCGCATGGCCTTTCGGTGTGTTCTTGAGCATGTCCTAGAACCCCACAAAGGACAGAGCGTCATTCAAGCGAGTCGTTTCTGAATGCCCTAACACACCGCAAGGAACCTTGGAAGATGGTACCTGGAGCAGGAGGATGAACTGAGGGAACCTCTGGATGGGCTTCACCATCAGTCCGTAGAGAGTGACCCGGTCCACGCTGCCCATTTGCCGCTTCTGTCCAAAGGGAGAAGCGCCCACAATGAAACATGTACAATGCTGACCTCATCCCACATTTAACAATAACAACAATAACAACAATAACTTTTCTGCCCCCACGCTATCTAATTGCTTGGAAGGTGACTTAGTTGCACAAGGAACAGATGGAGGACACTTAGACAAACAGTCAACAAGAACTAAGAACTGAAAAAGGTTTCAACCCCTTTCTCCTCCTGGGTGTAACTGCCACAGTCCTCCGAAGAGAGTTAAAGTCCTTGAGACAGGGGCTCTGAATTACTTAATTTCTCTGCTGTTTCTTCTCTTAACAGTAACAACAATGATAACAACAATAACAACAATCAAGGACTTTGAAATTGAGAGACAATTCCCAGACACTTGGACCTAATGTGCATGTGTGCTGTGTTGTTATGTACATGTAAATAATAATAATAATAATAATAATAATAATAATAATCCAATACAACAGCCAGCAGAGTGTCTGCTGTGGACTCATTTTGTTGTGCTTCTAATAATAATAATAATAATAATAATAATAATAATAATAATAATAACAACAACAACAACAACAGCAGCAGCAACACATTTTATGTATTACCCGCCTCTCCTGGTGGCTCAACCAATCCAAAAATAAATGAACATAAAAATACGATAGATAAAAAAACAAATGCACACATATCTCTATCTATCGATCAATCGGTCGGTCGGTCGGTCGGTCTGTCTGTCTGTCTGTCTATCTATCTATTCATCCGTCTATCTATCTACCCATCCATCCATCCATCTGTCTATCTATCTATCTGTCTGTCTGTCTGTCTGTCTGTCTGTCTGCCCATTCATCCATCTATCTATCCATCCATCCGTCTATCTATCTACCCATCCATCCATCTATCTGTCTGTCTGTCCATCCGTCCATCCGTCCATCCGTCTATCTCTCTATCTAGCCATCTAGCCATCTATCCATCTATCTATCTATCTATCTATCTATCTATCTATCTATCTATCCATCTATCCACCTATCTATCGTATCTATATCTATCTATCTATCTATCTATCTATCTATCTATCTATCTATTTCTCTGTCTGTCTGTCTGTCTGTCCGTCCGTCCGTCCGTCCTTCTATCTGTCTGTCTGTCCATCCATCCATCCATCTATCTATCTATCTATCTACCTATCCATCCATCCGTCTGTCTATCTACCCATGCATCCATCTATCTATCTATCTATCTATCTATCTATCTATCTATCCATCCATCCATCCATCCATTTCTCTAGCTACACACCCATCCATCCATCCATCCATCCATCCATCCATTATTCTATCTATCTATCTATCTATCTATCTATCTATCTATCTATCTATCTATCTATCCATCCATCCATCCATCCGTCCGTCCATCCGTTTGTCTATTTATCTATCTACCCATCCATCTATCTATCTATCTATCTATCTATCTATCTATCTATCTATCTATCTATCTATCTTTCTGTCTGTCTTTCTGTCTGTCTTTCTGTCTGTCTGTCCGTCCGTCCCTCCGTCCATCCATCCATCCATCCATCCATCCATCTATCTATCTATCTATCTATCTATCTATCTATCTATCTATCTATATATCTCCTACATATCCATCCATCCATCTGTGTCTATCCATCCATCAAGTATCTATCAGTCTATCTATCTCCTACATATCCATCCATCCTTCTGTATCCATCCATCCATCCATCCATCCATCCATCCATCTATCTATCTATCTATCTATCTATCTATCTATCTATCTATCTATCTATAGAGGTTATTATTTCCCCAATAGGTGACTAACTGAAACTAAAAATAATAATGATAATAATATAGCTACAGGGTCGTAAGACTGCAAAACATAGCCTGCAGCATTGAATCCTCAACCTCTCTATGGGTTCCTCCTACAACATGGCCCTCTTACGTCTTCTTCCCCTGACCTTGAGGAACTCCAGGAAGGCAGGCTTGGTGAGGCAGGCCTTCTTGATCAGGGACATGGCGCCGGTGAAGTTGTTGACGTACTCGCTGTACACGTCCAGCACCATCGACTTGGAGAACTTGGGGAAACAAGAGAGGGAAGTGTTAGGCTCTGAGGTCGGCCATCTCTACCTCAGGTATGGGCAAACTTGGGCCCTCCAGGTGTTTTGGACTTCAACTCCCACAATTCCTAACACCTGGTAACCCTACTTTCCGGATATCCCTCGTATGGCGCAAACTTCGCACTTGGCAGGAAACGGAATGAGGACGCTCATCTCTAACCTTCACAACAATGCACTGGATGAGCTACTGACGACTGGCACTGCTCATTCACTTAAACTTGCTTCCTGCTACACAGGAGTGATATCAACTTCTCCCGCGAAAATTCCCCATGAGAGCTACATGGCTTGTAAGCTTACTTTCCAGATATCTCTCGTACAGCACAAACGTCAAACTTGGAGGGAAATGGAATGAGGACGCTCATCTCTAACCTTCACCACAATGCCAGTTGATGAACTGCTGACAGCTGGCACTGCTCGTTCACTTTTTCTGGCTTCCCGCTAAATGGCAATGATAGCAATTCCCCCCGCAAAACTTCCCCGCAAGATCTACATGCTTTGTAACCTTACTTTCCAGATATCCCTCGTATGGTGCGAACTTCGCACTTGGCAGGAAAGTGAATGAGGACGCTCATCTCTAACCTTCACCACAATGCCCAGTCAATGAGCTACTGACGACGGACCCTGCTCGTTCGCTTCCACTGGTTTCCCGCTACACAGGAGTGATATCAACATTTCCCGTGAAAATTCCCCATGAGAGCTACATGCCTTGTAATCTTACTTTCCAGATATCCCTCATACAGCGCAAACTCTAACCTTCACCACAATGCCCAGTCAATGAGCTACTGACGACTGGCACTGCTCGTTCGCTTACACTGGCTTCCTGCTACACAGGAGTGATATCAACTTCTCCTGCGAAAATTCCCCATGAGAGCTACATGCCTTGTAATCTTACTTTCCAGATATCCCTCCTACAGTGCAAACTCTAACCTTCACCACAATGCCCAGTCAATGAGCTACTGACGACTGGCACTGTTCGTTCGCTTACACTGGTTTCCTGCTACACAGGAGTGATATCAACTTCTCCTGCAAAAATTCCCCATGAGAGCTACATGCCTTGTAATCTTACTTTCCAGATATCCCTCATATAGCGCAAACTCTAACCTTCACCACAATGCCCAGTCAATGAGCTACTGACGACTGGCACTGCTCGTTCGCTTACACTGGCTTCCTGCTACACAGGAGTGATATCAACTTCTCCCGCAAAAATTCCCCATGAGAGCTACATGCCTTGTAACCTTACTTTGCAGATATCCCTCGTACAGTGCAAACTCTAACTTTCACCACAATGCCCACTCAATGAGCTACTGACGACTGGCACTGCTCGTTCGCTTACACTGGCTTCCTGCTACGCAGGAGTGATATCAACTTCTCCTGTGAAAATTCCCTATGAGAGCTACTTGCCTTGTAACCTTACTTTCTAAATATCCCTCGTACAGTGCAAACTCTAACTTTCACCACAATGCCCAGTCAATGAGCTACTGACGACTGGCACTGCTCGTTTGCTTACACTGGCTTCCTGCTACACAGGAGTGATATCAACTTCTCCTGT